TTACACATGTAAAGAAGCCTTAAAATGGATGTAAGTGTAAAAGGCTCTATGTATAAATAAGTTTCTGGCTCAAAATGTTTACGCTTACGATAGTTCTCTGAACCATAAGGACCTTCCCTATTTCTGCACCAAGAATGTCACTGCCTGTTTTAACAGTTTCCCAATAGACTTAACAAAATGAAAAATCATAAATAATAGAGTAAGCGCTACAGTCATTTTAACTGAACACTGAAGCGGTGAAATCCGTCATCCTTTGACCTTGTTCAATGCTGTTGACTTCAACAGGAACAAGATCCAGCCTTATTTGCCACCTCCTTGATGCTGATTTTAGATTACAATAACAGAGATATATTTAACACATAGCATGTGTGTGTGTGTGTGTGTGTGTGTGTGTGTGTGTGTGTGTAAATATAAATAAATAACTGGTGAAAAAAGGGGACTTCAAGCAGGCCTCATCAGTAGTAGTAATTATTGTTTACCAGACCAAAAAATCCTGTGGGTGTTAAATGAGCACTAGGCACCAGAGTGTTAGTGACAGAGAAAAGTAAATGTACTGCAAGCCATGAGCACAGCTGTAAAATTGCCCTGGCAGAGGCTGTCGAGCTAATAACATGATCTTTTCAAACATGCATATTATAGTCTTTGTGGTATTTGTCATTCGTTAAAACTCTCAGCCTGTCACTTCTTTACTCCTAACAGTGGAAAAGAGCCAGTCTTTGTACTCTAAGCTTGTATGTGCTGACCAACACTGTGTCCATTTTACAGTCTTTATCTTAAAAAGGTAGAAGTTTATTAAAGGAAACGCTGAGATGGGAATGATTTATACTGCACAGAGCTATGACTATGACCTCACAGTCGGCGCTGGGATGTACTGTACACACCCAGAAGAAAACAATGTCAGTAAGACCCAAATCAACACATTTCGTAGTACAGCTATAACGATTCAGGTGGAAAGATAAACCTCTGGCACCATTTAAATGAACTCTGTTTCTGAAATGCCAAATGTAGAAACTGCTGATATTAAATTTTGTTAGATATACTACATCTGGTGTTTATGGCTTAGTTTTGTTGCCAGAGAGCCCCAGGAGCATCAGTCTGGGAGCACAGCCAGTGTCTCCCAATTTAGTTGGACAATTGTGGATACACAGAGATCCAATATTCCTCTGATTTAAAGCTCACAGGCAGATTGTAGGAGACTTTTGTTTTATTTATAGTTAGCATGTGTGGAGAGAAATAAAACAGTAATTTAATATGCTGTGCAATTAAGAGTTTATTTCTTCCACACAGTTCTCATTCCAGTAGCTTATTTCAAAGCATAAAGAATTAGAATCCCTGGGTACTTGTGCCTCCATTAATATGTGGATAGACATGAAGAGATACAGCAATGGAATTCCTTTCCATTAAAAAAGAAAGAGACTAATATCCAGGCCTACAATAAAAGTTGAACACTTACAATGACCATCTGTATAAATATTGGAACTGTTCCAGTCACGTGCAGTTTAATGTTCTTCCTTCCCTTATGGCCCACTTTTATATAAAGCACTAAATTACCAGTTCAGCTGCTTCCATGGCTCTGTTATTTAAAAATATAAGTTCCCCTTCTGCTTGAAATGGAAGAATCTGCTCACTAAAAACACACTATATAAAATCAGAGGAAATCTCCTGTTCATTACATTCACAAAAGATGGGTACATAAGCCACAAGACAACTAATAGGATTAGCTGGAATACAGCCATATTCTATCTTTGGGGAATATTTTATGCATGCACATAAAAATTAAATATTAAACAAAAGTGTGAATTTTTTTCACTGGGGCAGGTAGGATGCTTGCCATCTGTTAAACACACAGTCCTGCCAAATATTACAGACTCACATCCTGAATTTGGAAACCAAGTGCACACGGGAAATCCACGCATTTCTTTTGGTATCCGCCTTCCACTGGCCTTTCCTCTACTTGCTGCTCAGTTTTACCGCTTCACTGATTGTTAAGCTATGCTACCTCCCACTATTTCTGGGAACAGAGGGCCCAATTTTGCAAATCTTCCTATGTCAAAAGTGCTTCATCATGTGATTAGTCCCACTGCCTGTAATGGAGATACTCATGTGACTAGAGACTTCACGCTTGACAGGTTTGCAGAATTAGGCCTATAAAATTAGAAAAGTAGAACGGGAGATCAGGGTATCTGTGCAGAGTGACTGGAAAATGAGCAGCACATCATCATGCAATTTATAAGGAAAAATGTCTCCTTCACTTCTGAGAAAGTAATCAATAGGAAAATCCCAAAGGTGTGAATGATAATGTGGAACCTTGACCTACCAACTCACACTGTGGGAAGAACTTCCATGAAGATCTGACTTAATCATTAATTCACTGCCATACTTTTACTTCATGTCTACCTGCTCCTTTCATAGGGTTATCTCAGAATAGTAGGGATATTGCATCAGTAGTTTAAAATGCATTAAATTATCCAAAACCAAGGTAACAACAATAAAATGAGGTTTCAGGCAATTCAATTCAAAGTGTACTCTAATATTCTGAGACCCATTCCTTTTTATAATGTTTCCCCAAATGTAAAAATTATCTCTAGAACCACTCCATACTATTTATATTTGCTTTCATAGGTAGTTTGTCTAGTCTTTGGAGCTTGATATTGGGAGTCTTATTCAGGACCCCTGGATTCTAGAAACGAGCTATATCACTTTGTCTTTTAAAATTTCAAGTTGATATTTTATGAGGAACATTTAGATTGACTGGCTTACTTTTCTTCTCATATCTAGGACTTATACTGACCCCTCTCTCAGCTCCTACATTTCAACAGAAGGTGCTCACAGCATTTCACAGGATCAGACCCTAATAGTGTTTTCTCAGCTGTAAAATGGGCACAACACCACTTAACTACCTTGTCAGCTTTAATTAATTGCTAGCAACTCCCAACCACTTTCACTCCCACCCAGGAATCACACCCCCTTCTGAACCGTCCCCTCTCCCCGGTTACCTCTAGCGTTCTCCAAGCTGCCCACACACCCTTCCTCCTCTACATCTCTTCTGAGCAATTCAAGGAATAAGGTCCTGCCTGCCCACATCTATTCCCACTGTTCAGGGAACCTTGTGAAGGTAATCTAGTACCAACACCTTTTACTAGCACGATACTTATGTTTATGGTTACATGTAAAAAAAAATCTGTGTTTGTACAGCTGGGAATGAGGGGGGATTAAATGTAAAATGGATATAAAAATTCTGTACAGTCACAAATAATTAATCTGTGAAACTCACTCCTAGAGAATATTATCAGGGGAAAGAGTTTAACAGGATTATTTTTAAAAAGGGATTGACATTTACACGAATACACTCTGATGTTACACCAGCTAGGCTAAAACTACAAGTGTTATCAATACTCCTGCCAAAAGTCATAAACTTATCATCAGCTGCAGACAAGGGAAAAAATAAATTGTATTTAAGCATTCCTCACTCTTCTCTGGGAAGACTGGGCCCTGAATATTTTGGTGAATCTTAGCAAACTATTCCTTACTAGGTCCTGTAGACACATGTATGTGGAATTAAGGTGACCACGTTTTCAAAATAAAAAACAAAAACAAAACAGGACACTTTTGCAGTAACATTTTTTAAGGGTCACGAAATCCTCATTCAAAAGTAGTTTAAAAATATGTACTGGTGTCACTACTGCCAGCTTCTCACTCAAGAGGGAAGTGTCTCAGAGTGGACGGCATTTTCTAGTAAATTTACGAGTTGTGAATGAATTCACCATGAATCGCTGAACATTCAATCTAAGCCAAAGAATGGCTCTTACAGTGTCAACACTTGGGCTTTTCTATCCACTCCAACCACTGTTCATTATTCATCCCATCAAACGTTCCTTCTGCTGCACTATTCCCATAAACACAGAACTCCTCGAACAAACATGAAGTGATCATAAGACAATTTTTTAAAAAAACTTTTAGGAAATGGAAAACTGGAAGGACTCAGGTGCCCTGAAAGCAACTGCTGGGGCGGCAGTATACTGTGTGAAAATCTAGGCTTTGGGGTGGCCGTGGTGGGTGGGACACACCCTGCAGCCACATGCACAGGCTCATCAGGGCACTAGCGCCCCCCAGCAGGGCTGGATTAACTCTCTTGTGGGCCCGGGGCTATTAGATTTTGTGGGGCCCCTGTATATGTCTTTTTCCTAATTTAAAACAAAATGACATCGGGCTATTAACACTATACTAAACTTGCCTTTTAATTAACATAAAGTCGTACTGTGGTTACATTTCAGTCTTAAAACGTAGAATATAGCTAATTCAAAATAGCCTACTTCTTACCTTAGAACAGCTCTTATATTAGTTTCTTTTGAGGAGGGAGTTTAGGTGCAGGAGGGGGGTGCCAGGCTGGGGCAGAGTGTTGGGGGTGCAGGAGAGGGTGAGGGGTGCGGGCTCTGGGAGGGAGTTTAGGTGCAGGAGGGGGGTGCCAGGCTGGGGCAGAGTGTTGGGGGTGCAGGAGAGGGTGAGGGGTGCGGGCTCTGGGAGGGAGTTTAGGTGCAGGAGGGGGGTGTCAGGCTGGGGCAGAGTGTTGGGGGTGCAGGAGAGGGTGAGGGGTGCGGGCTCTGGGAGGGAGTTTAGCTGCAGGAGGGGATTCTGACCTGGGGTGGTTCCCGGGCAATGGGAGCTGTGGCGACCGTGCTGGCGACAGGGGCAGCGCACGGAGCCTCTCCCCCGCCCCCAGGGGCTGCAGAGACATGCCAGCAGCCAGCCGCTTCCAGGAACGGCCTGGGGCCATGGCATGCAGGCAGCCTGCCTGAGCCCTGCTGCGCCACTGGACTTTTAGCAGCCCGGAGATCGCGATCGCCCGGCAGAGGCGCCAGGATCAACCAGCTGATCCTGATCAAGGGGCTGGTGACCACTGAATTGTATATAATTATGGATTTATTTTTCAGATCCCCCCTTAGCCCGAGGCCCTGGGCTGCGGCCCCTAAAGCCCCTGCGTTAATCCGGCCCTGCCCCCCCCGCCCTGGGGCTCTGCTCTGGCCCAGGCACTGCCTGGGGACGGCAACCCCGAGTCCGCCTGAGCGTGGGGCAGGAATGTGACGCCCCAAGGCGCAGCCCCCACCCAGGCTGGGGATGGGGAAGGCAGACTCGGGTAGCGGGTCGGCTTCGATGATGCTACTGCGCATGCTCCGGTCACTCATTAACCGACAGGGGGCGGGGTTCCTCCCAGCTCCGTCGGCGCCTGGCGTCTCTGCCCTGGTTGCCATAGCAGCGGGTTGGATGCGCGGCCCGCATGGCGCTGCCGGATCCGGTCAGAAGGAGGCTCGGCTCCTTCAGCCGGACTGTGTTCAGCGACAGCAACCGCACCGGCCCGGAGCGCCGAGGCAGCGGCGGCAGCCTGGGTAAGGAACCGCTCCCCTGCCCGCAACAAAGATGGCGGCTGCAGCCTCACGGGGGAGAGAGAGGGGGGTCGTTGCCAGGAACGAAGATGGCGACGCTAGCCTCGCTATAGCGGGGCTACGGGCAGCGCGTTCCTGCCTGGTTCCGCGGTGTCCCCGCGCTCAGAGGCCCCGGGGCGCCATGCCGGGGGGCCGGGAGAGAACGACACCCTAGTGCCAACAGCTTCCCCTCACCCCACGGGTGGCAGCAGCCGCAGCGCGGGGCCTCCCTGCTCCGCCCTGGCTTGGGGACGTGGCTCTGTCGGGTTCGACAGTGTTGGCGTCACAGGTGCTGGAACTAGGGGTGCTGCACCCACTGGCTAGAAGTAGTGAGAGCAGCCCTAATACATGGTTTTCACCATCACTTCCTCCACTGTAAGAATTGTTCCCGCACCACTGCTTGGCTTAGGTACCACACAGCCTGGCCCTGAGCCTGCCTTCATTGGGGGCTAGACCCTAGGTAGGGGGCCAGACTGTATCGCCAATCCCACATGTTCAAAAATCGCAAGTCAGGCCTCCCACTCCCAAACTCAGGAGGCTATCATCAAAATCATGAGATTTTTTCCCCCCAGCTTTTCTTGGCAGAGGGCTGGAAACATCTTAAAAATGAAAGCTGAGATTCTCACACAATCACAGGATTCCAGAAGCTGGGGCTTTAAAAAAAAGCATAAAAAATTATGAAACGTGGTACATTGTGGGGTACCATTAGACATCAGCCTAGGGCCAAACATATTGTGTCTTTCTGTGAAAATAGTACTGTTCTGACAACCACTGATCCCTTCACACTCAGCCAGGTGTTCAGTGTAACTTACCAGATACTACTACCTAGCATTTTTCATCCAGAGATCACAAAGCATTTCAAGAGATTCCACTGCCACCAAATTTAGCTGATATTTTAGGTGTTTAAATTTGAGTTGGACCTGCTGAAACAGGGACACTTAACAGAAAGTACAGGTGAGACAATCATAAAGAGGACCTTCCACACCCACAAATGGTGGTGATTGCTGATTCTTCTATGAGCTGCACTTTAAGTAATGTGAGAAACTTCCAACAGTCAGTTTATTGATCATTAATTCAAGTAGATTTAATGTGATATCAATAAATTGGACAATGGGAGAAGGAAACTTGCATTGAAACAAAACCGTTCCCTGGTGGTCTCATTTTTTAAGGACTTGCTTTTTATACTTTGTGTGTCTAGTTTTTTTGAGCCTATGTGCAAATTCTAAATACTGTAGAACTTTACCTCCCACTTAATATTGCAGGGGTCAAAGTTCTGTTTTTCTGGGTTTTAGCAGCAAATTTTCTTCTCGCCATAATGTTTGATTTGTAACTCCATTTTCTTTAATGTACATTCCAAGCTGGTGGTTCTCTTTTTAAAAATGCACATTGGATTGACAGTGCTGGAGTCTCGAATTTTCTATACAAAAGAAAAGTATTGTATGGAGACCACGCAGTGCAAGCTTCCCCACCAGCATGCTGGAGTTCTGATCTTTAGGGATCAATTTTAATTTGAGGATAATCAAATATAGATGCTCACTTAATCCTAGGCCCTGTTGATGAGACTATCACATTGCTACAGTCAGGCCTCAGGAGTTCAGAGTGCAGGTCAGTTCACCTCCACTGTCTACTGCTCTCCTGAACTGGCCTGCTCTTCTTTTGAGCTTCTCTTCCACCCATTCATGTTTTGCAAGTGTGGCAGTAGAACAGCTGCTTAACCCCTTCCTTCCTGGTGCAGGTTTGTATACACCTTGACATGTAGATTCTTTAGAATACAGTAGGGAATGATGTAGCAGAATTCTTCCCTTGGACATTTTACCACACTATATTTAATGTTGAACTTGGTTGATCTCAGAGTCCAACCATTAATGTGTTGGTTGAAGTTGCTATGTCTTAAAGTAGAGTAGCGTCTTTCTCTGCTGTATGTAGGAAAGAGAATGTCTGGCACAGACCTTGGGTGATGAGGATTTCTCTCTCTTTCTAGATAATGAAATAGTCTCCAGCTTGCCATTGCAGATGTCCCTCTATTTCAACCTTTACTTTTTCCCATTTTGGTGGGTGAGCAGTGTTGTCATGCTCCAGCTGAAGGTAAGTCCTGAGGGGACTTACCCCTCCAACATCTGTGGTGCCTGTCTGAAACTTATTTCCTCACACTGTCTGCAAGACTATGGGTTTGTCTTCACTACCGGGGTAAGTCGACTTAAGTTACACTACTCCAGCTACGTGAATAACATAGCTGGAGTCAATGTAGCTTAGGTCGACTTACCCCAGTGTCTTCACTGTGTTGCGTCGACGGGAGACGCTCTCTGGTCGATTTACCTTAATCTTCTCGTGGAGCTGGAGTTCCGGAGTCCTCCAGAGAGCGCTCTGCTATAGATTTAGCGGTCTTCGCTAGACCCGCTAAATCGACACCCAGGGCATCAATCGCAGCAGCTTTGATCTCCCCGATAGTGAAGACGAGCCCTAATACTCGGCCCTTCTACTCATTACCTTCAACCCAGACATGGAAAGTGATACTTAATAGAGTGCAATGTCTCAGCAAAAATATCAGAGTAGTTGGAGGTCCAAGAGTTCATGACAGAATTAGTGGCAGGTTTGGTTGGAGGCTGATTGAAAAATCGGGGGCTACGGCCGGTCGGGTTCCAGGAATATTGATAGTGCTGCATGAATTTCCAGATCACAAATACCATAAGCTTCTGTAGAGCTGTATAAAATAGTGACAGAATTCCATGGGGATGGAATGCACTTACTTTCTTCCTCTTTCTAGTACCCAGTCTTGCCAGATTACTACAAGTTCATCCTGGTCACAGTAATCGTCCTAGCCTCTCTAATTGAGGCCATCCGACTGTATCTTGGATACATGGGCAATCTGCAGGAGAAGGTATGTTCTGTTGACCTCCTTGAGCATCAGTTCAGGAGCCTTAGGGGGCTGAGTATGATGCTTTGAATTAGAGATACATCACAATTACATTTACTTTTAAAGGAAAACTTATTAATTGGACTTGAACTGGGGTTTATGTCCCTAGGTAACTGCTCTGTCAGTTGAGCTAAAGGAGCTGATCACTTTGCACAAGTGAGCAGGGGCTCCTTTGTTTCTGAAGTTCACAAAAGGACAGAATGAGACTGGGGCTTTGTAAGCCTCCTGGAATAAACAAAGGACTTAAATTTAGTCTTTCTATGTTGTAGGGTGGATGAGGAGCACACACACATTTCAAAATCACCTTCATATTAAATAATTTACTTCCCTCATTCTGGTTTTATGCATTTCTCCAGTCTGAGCCTCTCTTCTGCCAGTTATGCTCTTTCAGTGTCTGTCTATCCCTTTCGTCCCCTCATTTCAGTTCCTCCCCCTTTCTTGTTTTTTTGTTTTGGGGATACCAACCTCATTTTCCCTCTCTCTTTTCTTTAATTCCTGCTCCAGCGACCTCACATCATCACTGAAACCATCCTCTTCAACTTCATGCAGCTCTCTGGAAGCCTTCCGTCAGATGGTGGGTCTGCTTAGACGTATTATAGGATAGAGTAGTGTAGCATGTGATGCTCCTAGAGCTGGCTGATCCAGGGAGCAAGGGACCAGGCTCTGTTCCATACTGATACGTACTGACACTAAACTTTCAGTGCAAGTCTCCTTTTTCTGCCTCTCTATTTGTTGTTTTCTTCTGTCCTGGCTTATTGCTCTGTTAATTTAATTCCCCTTGGAAGACCGTGCTTCCTGCTCCAACCTATAGCACTACCTTAATGATACTGATAGAGGCAAACTGATGAGAATCAAACTATCCCCACTAGTTTTACTTTGCTACTGCACATGTCACCTGAGCTGCTGAACATCCTATAGACTTCATTGCCAGAGATGCAACCTTGTGTCCACTTTCCCTGTCACTGTGGGGGAAGGAGTGTAAAGAGGATCACACTTGGCTGGCAGTTCTGGCAGGAACAGTGAGAAGGCCAGTGGCCACATTTCACTCTGCTTCTGCTGTTACCAGGATGTTTTGGACTCACTAGGTGCAGCAGCTGGGCTAGGACTTGTCTGCAGAGATTTTAGAAGGTGATGGGAACACCAGGGAAGCCCATGATCGTCCACTGAATTTAACTTCCTGAAGCCCTGGATTTAGTTGAAACAAAAATCTGAATAGTAAACTGATTTCCGAGTAGTTCTTGGCTAAACATTTATGTTGTCTCTTTGTTTCATAGTAGAGCTGGCTGGAAAATGGGGTTTCCCCTGCTGAAAATTTTGACTTTTCAGCAAAAATTTAAAACCAAAATACTTCAATTCTGAAATGCTACCATAGCACATCAGGGGAGTTGTGGTTCAGGTACCACATGCTCCTCTTATTCTCAATCAGCTTTGCTCACTGGTTAGACTGTATCATATGTGATACACCACTGTCTCCTTTCCTGTTTAAGGGAGCTGGTACATCATAGGAGTTGCATAGCCACATTGCATCATGGAAGATGAAGTTCAGCTGGGAGCCAAGCCCATAAGAATGGGTGCATAAGGCAACTCAACTACAATTCCCATGAGGCACAGCAGTGGTATAACCAATTTAAATTTTCAGATTTGGGGCATTTGTTTTTTGATGAAAGATAGAAATTTTCCACAGAAAGGAGATGGTTTTTGGCAAATAATTTAGTTTAGTCAAAACCCCCAATTTTTCATTGAAAAATAGTTTAGACAGAACATTTTCAACCAGTCCTATTTCTTAGCAACTCCATAGCATACGCAGGCTTTGGGAAGAGGGAGAATGGATTTTTACAGGATACATGTTTTTGGTATGTACTCCAACTGTGTACACATGGCTTGCATTGTTCCGTTGCCATGCTACAATAACTGTTGATGTTAGACGTAATGTCTTTCTGTTGTAGGTACCTGAACTGGCTGGCTTTTGGCTCCTGAGTCTCCTCCTGCAGTTGCCCATAATCCTCTTCTTGCTCTTTAATGAAGGTTTGAAGATCCAGCCCCTGGAGCGAGCAGTCCACATCATTTTTGCCCTTTTCCTCACCTTCCAGGTCATTGCAGCTTTTCTTGCCTTGAAAAGAATGGTGAACCAGCTGGCAGTTCGTTTCAGCCTTAATGAATTTGACCAGCTGGACGATCATCTAGCCTGGGAGAAGAAGAGGGTGCAGGCTCCATGGAGGGTAGGACAAAATTTTGAGGAGGCTCCTCCATCAAATATTGATTGGGAGTCTGCACTCCGGGCTTGACAGCGTTACTAGAATAGAGCCTCAGGATGAACATCTCTTGCTACTATAGTCCCTTTGTTCCCATTTCTTTGGCTCATTCTCAACCTTCCTAGTTTTCAGAGACCCTAAAAGTAGTTCTTCTGCCACAGCCAACATTAAAGATGAGAGATTTGAACTTTGCTTGAACGTCACATTGGCACTATTAGCTCTGCCAGTTATACAGTTGACTTCATTTGTATATAGTTATTCATTGGATGAAATGCCTGCAGCGTGGGGTTGGTAGGTTTTATACTTATGCAAACTGTAATTTTTTTTAATTGTGTACAAAAGATTTTTACTGTTCATGATTTTGCACAAGGATATTTTGTTTACAATAAATTTCATATTTTATTCATTTTAATAAAACTTCACACTATATAGCTTCTTCTATCTACAGATCTGAATACACTCTACAAACAACAAATTTAGTCTCACACTAGGCCAGTAAGATAAGGAAGTATGCAGAAACAGACACAGAAAGGGATGCAGAAACTACAGTGATGGTCGTGCTACAAGAACTTAAAAAGCTTCATGGACAAAGTTTCTAAAGTGACCTTTAATTTTAGATGACTCCGTTATTGGGAGCTCCAGTCAGAGAAACTGTTAATTCAAGAAAACATCATTTGGTTCAGCTGAAGTTTTGGGTATCCCGCACTTCATAGTTAGGGCCTACTTGTCTAAAATGAAACATCCAATAATTGAGCCATACAAAATTACAGGCTATTTAAACATTTAGAGATGTGATCTGCTCAAGGGAATACAGGAAATATATGTCAGAGCTAGGTATATAACCCCGGTCTCATTTGCAGGTTTCTGTATTAATGTCTGGACTATCCATTCTGGTAATGACTAAAAGTTTGTTTCTCAATCTTTGGTGATCAAAAGTTAAATTAATTTAATTTCTTCTTGTGGATCCCTCTGGCTATCAACAGAGCAAAGGCAGTTGCATATGGGTGCAGGGGAGGGCTGGTACATGGACACAGGGTTAATGAAAGGGAGAAGGGCAAAGAGGATAGGGAATCTAATTGCACTATGAAGGAAAGATGCTATATGGTTAAGGATGGGGTTTTTGTAGGCCTATTAAAGTCTTACAGTGGAGAGGAATGGATAGTGGTCTTGTCTCATATCAAAATTGGATTCTGCAAACTATTCATTCAAATGTTATCTATTATTAAAATTCAAACCTGATGGAAGCAAGTACTTGCAGCGTGGTTGCCTCAACTTGCACCAGGTCTGGATTTGACTTATTTTGCAGAAATATGACAAATTGGAAGGAATTTGTAAGCAGGAAGTTACCAGGAGTATCTGAAGTAGTATTAAGATTGCGGTCCTTCATTCAGAGTCTGTAAGGGAGACGCTGGTGAGGTTTAAGCATAGGATCTCTGGCCCTGCCCATGAGTTTTGTAGTTAGAAGAGTTACAACATTTGAAAAATCCACCCCCTGCCCCCAGTAGTCCTGGGAATTCCTTTCTAAAATAAAAAGCCCTTTTAACTGTATGCACAATTGTATGCGGTAGCACAAATTGTCATCTTGCCACTGTGTAACTACTGCACAAAGCTGAGCTTAAATCAACAGCTAGAGATCAGAGCCCAGGTCAACTCAGAGAAACTTTTCAGAGGCAATTAAAATAAGGACTGGAAAACAGAACAAAAGACCTCAAAAGGCCAACCAGAAGTATCAATTCTTGTGCCTGTCTTCACTATTGAGTTAACACAAGGTATAGCTCAAATGTTTCTGTTAACTCTATCCTACCCATACACAAAAAAACTGCTCACTTATTTGTAGTTATGGTAACACAAATTGGTTGGCACAAGTGGGGATATAGAGCAGACCTGGAGTGAGCTTACCTCCTTAGCCCCCAACACAACCTCTCAATAGTGTTGATTAGGTTAGTGCTGTGATAACAAGTGAGAGCTGCTAGTCCTCCAATGCCTTCCCCACAATTCTCTTAGGGTCTCGTGTCCTGTTGTCTTGTCTTGCTATCTACTTGTTCCCTGCTTCCTGACTGAAAGTCACCTCCTGCTGCATATAGGTCTCCCTGGCCCTCAATCTCCACATTCGTCCACAGCAGCCATTATCAGCAACTGCCCTCATCCACATCTGGTAGAGAGCTCCTGTTTTGTGATAATGATCCCAAAAACGACACATTTTCAGAGTGCTGACAGCTGCCCCCAAGATACTGGTGAATCTCTGACTCAGGTCTTGCAAAGTCCACAATTTTGGGAACAAGAATTGAAATGCCAGGATGCATGACGACATTTTGAAGAAACTGGCCAGGCATAGAATTCAATGAACAGGACCTCAGTGCTGAAGAAAATCAAAGGGATTAAGATGTTTGTAACCGCTTGTAACTCTAGAGTTCCCCCTTGTGGACAGAGGTTGCTCTATGGCACCCTGCCACTTTGGCCATCGTTTCTCTTCAGGGGCCCTTTAAGAAGTTACATTTATCAAAGTACTTCCAACCAAAACACAACTAGTGAAATCTTCTCCCCAGTTTCAGCTGGGCATAGCCCTATTCTCCCTGAGGGTCTGCTGTCATGCTTTCCCTTGCTTCTTGGGCAAGGTCCCTCCAGGCCTTACTACCTCCTCCTTCCCCACTCAAGTCAACTGGGTCAAGAGCTCTGGCCTGATGGTTGGGAAAGGGTGGCAGGCAGGCTGTCTCCACCTCTGCTCTGGGAAATCCAGTGGGGCACAGGTCCACTGCTCTATTTGGGCATAGACCTTTCTGCCAACAATCTACTTCCTGCTGGAGAATTGGACCAATCTAGAGGCCAAGCTATCTGGCCGGCTGTGAAGGTGGATGGGGCTGCTCCAGTGCGTTTCCCTGCAGGGGAGAGTGCTGGTGATGAATCATCTAGTCCTGTCCATGCTCTGGTTCAACATCCTGAGCCTGTTCCCAGGGACTCTGGCCAGCCTCCAGAAGAGGATTCTGGAATTTTTCTGGCCAGGGCTGCACAGGGTCTCTGCAGGTGTCCTGGGCTGCCCTCCTTCCACACCTTCCACCATCAGGCCCTGCAGAGACTCCTTTACAGTTCAGGCAGTTGTGCACAGAGCATGCCTCCGAGAGTGCCGATACAAGCGGCAGCTCCCCCGAGACTTCTGTGAGCTTACAGTCTTTTACCAGAACCTCCTCAGAACCAGGACCAGGTCTGTAGCGGCCGCCAATGGGAGGACCTCCTTGCAGAATCCATGCTAAATTCAAACCTTAGTCCCTCTTGGTGTGCCAGACGCTGGTCTTGGTTGGTGCCACCAGACTCAAACCTCCTGGACTACGATCAGAGGGAATGGGTGAATGCTGTCAAAATTAGCCAGCAAATGGGGCTATCCACCCTGTCTTGTACTCCATGAAGTGAGGGCAGCCTTGCCTCATGCTTCTCTTACTTTCCTCAAGTGGGTTCTGCAGAGGGGTGCTTCCTGCCCACCAAAACTCATCATCAAGCCCATAACCCATGAGCCTCCTCTTTTTAACCCTTACCAGGCAAGCATGACCCTTCGTCACCCTAACCCTGAGCAGGGGAGCCCTTCTGACCCCAATGCTAGCCCTAGGTCGAGAAGCCTTAACTTTGTAACCTTAACTTTATGCCAGGGAGCCCTCCAGACTGCAGTCATAACTCTAGGTCAGGGAGCCCTACAAACCCCAACGCTTACCCTAGGTCAGGGAGTCCTAGTGACCCCAACCTAACCCTAGTCCTGGAATCCCTATGGGCTGAATGCCAAGCATAGGCCGAGAAGATTATCCTTTGTGACCCTAATCCTAGGTTGGAGTCCTATCCTTTGAAACCTTAACCTTAGCTCAGGGAGACTTACTGACCCCAACACTAACCCTAGGCCGGAACACTGCCCTTTTCAACCCTTACCCTAGGCCAGGGAGCCCTGCTGACCTCTAGCCTAACTCTAGGCCAGGGAGCCCTGTTGATCCCAACTCTAACCCTTAGGCAAGCAGCCCTATTCTTTGGAATCCTATCCCCAGGTCTAACCCCAGCATTGCAAGTATTACTTTTTCTAACCCTAACTTTCACCCTGGGAGCTCTGCCCTTTGTAACCCTAACCCTAGTCTGGGGAGCTGACCTACATTGTGGGATGGAGGAGGAACGCACACACTTTCAACATCACCCACTGTCACGGCTAAATCTTCACTCTGTCACTCTGAATGCAGAAAGTGGGGGCCCACAAAGATTCTAAAAATTAATACTTGCCACTCCAGGCTTGTATTACACTCCCAAGGTTATAGCTTCCCTCTGACCTTGGCTTGGTAAATGCTGCCACCACCCAAATGCAAAAAAAACAACAACCCTTTAACCCAAGAAGGAGCACTTGTGAATTCCTCCCTGTGGGGTACCCTCAAGCCCTTTCACCCCTTCCTCTGGGGAAGAGCTGAGAAAGAAAAGGAAATTAGCTGTGGCTACCAGCTAATCAAACAACATACACAAACTTTTTAGGACACCAATAATCCAATCCTGTTCTTAGAAAAGGTAAATGTTATTAAAAACAAAAAGGAAAAAATACATTTGGAATTTAGGCTTTTGCTAGATTTTAAAAGAGCAATTCCAAAACTTAAGCACCCAAAATAGCTTTCTTGGGGGTTCAGCTTAAAGGTTACAAGCAAACAAAAGCATCTGGGGTTAGCACAGAGGAGATCCACAAGCCTTAAAAAATAAACAGAAACAAACCTGATCGCGTCTAGCTAAACATTCTGATCTACTTACAGCTTTGGGTTGTTAAAAGTAGGTCTAGATATAATCTGATGATTTTTATATCTGGTTCAAATTTTACACCGCATTCCTGCTGCCACGTCTCTTCAGCCCAGAGAGCAACAGACAAAGGGAAAGTTTCTTTCCCAATTTTAAGAAGTTCTACCTTCCCATTGGCTCTTTTGGTCCGGTGCCCACTCCTTTTCTTTTACCTGTGGGCTTGTTAACCCTTGTTAAAGCAAGCAGAGAACAGCTACCAAGAAGATTTTACAGCTAACTAGCTGTCTGGGTGTTCATCAAAGGGAGCTACTCTTCCTCTCTCCCACCCCTCCCCATGTATCACATCCACTATTAAGTAACATTCTCCCCACATTCTGGTCTTTTACATTTCTCTAAGCAGTGCCTCATTTCTTTCAGTTGTGATCTCTCAATGTCTATCCCTTTTAACCCTTCACTCCAGACCCTGCCAGGCTTTCTTCTATTTTTGTTCTGGACTCACTTCACTCTCTCTTCTCCGATTCCTGCTCCATGACTGAAACCATCATCTTCAGTTTTATGGAGCTTTTCGGAAGCCATTAACTCAGCTCCTTCAGTCAGCTGTTCCTTGGGGACTGATTTATATGCTATTTTGGTTTTTTATTCTATAATTTAAAGTAAGGGTAAGGTAGGACAGG